CCTGCCTCTGCCTCCCGAGTGCTGGGATTAAAGGCGTGCGCCACCACCGCCCGGCTTTCTTTTATTATTTTATATGTATGAGTATTTTGCCTGCATGTATGTCTGGATCTCCTGGAACTGGAGTTCAGAGACAGTTAGTTATGAGTTGCTATGTGGGTGGTGGGAATTAAACCTGGGTCCTCTATAGAAGAACTGCCAGTGCTCTTACCGTTGATCCATCTCTCCTCCTCCCTATTATAACATTTTAAATGCTGCATTCTGTAGGTCTTTGAAGTGTTTGAAGATCACCTATCTATCTAAAATACATCTCTGTATGGCCTTCAAAACATACCTAACATGACTATAAGTTTCATTGTTATATATGACTACCTATTAACCTGTATTCCATTATTATCCTAAATAGCTTTCAAGGACTAAAACTTTATATTACATTTTCAAATGAGCTGTATAGGTATAATACCTTAAGCAAGAATGGAAACATATACACAGTCTAACAAAAATGATCTTAAATTTGTATCAATATACAAAAACACATACCAATGTAAAATATTTGAGACTAATGGTTGTTCAAAAGTAGACTCAACAATCCACCCCTTTATCCCATCATTTCTATACTACATCCCCCATTTTCCCTTCAGAAAGAGATCCTTGAGTATAATCTCCTTTGTTTAGTTTTTTTTTCTGACATTACCAATAACATATTGTAACCAACCTCTCAAAACAATGACAAACATCTAAAACCCACCAAATGACCAAAAACCACCCAGCTCACCTCTTGGGAATGTGGGCATCATATTCTCTAGACTGCTTCTTGTTGTCTTGGGGTGATGGCATCTTTGGGGGGCCCTGAGAAAATTAGGATAATGGTCAAGTCCTGGGAGAGCTAGCTGGGACATTTGTTATCCAGTCTCTGTGTAATGGGAAAGTGCAAGGCTTATGTGCTGTCCTGGCTGGAATAGTCTGTGAGGCTGGACCATCTCAGCCAGCAGAACTGAAGCTTCTCTGCATGCAGAGCTCTGAGGAAACTGCAACAGAGGCACTCTGAGAGGCTTGGTCACCTGGGCCACATGTTTTCATTCGTGTCTGGTTGTAGTTTTTTTTTTGTTGTTGTTGTTGTTTTTTACTCTTTGCTCTTTGAGAGGCCCACCACCCAGCTCCCAAATGAATATATACACAGAGATTTACCCTTACTTATGAATGCCTTGCCTTAGCTTTGCCTGTTTCTAGCCAGCTTTTCTTAAATTATCCCATCTACCTTTTGCCTCTGGGCTTTTACCTTTTTCTGTTCTATATACCTTTCTTTCCTTCTTACTCTGTGTCTGGGTGGCTGGCCCCTAGCATCCTCCTCTCCTTATCCTTTTCTTGCTGCCCCTCTTCTCTCTTCTCTTATTTATTCTCTCTGTCTACCAGGCCCACCTATTTTCTTTCCTGCCTAGCTATTGGCCATTGAGTCCTTTATTAGAACAATCGGGCTAGACAGGCAAAGTGACACAGCTTTACAGAGTTAAACAAATGCAACATAAAAGAATGCAACACATCTTTGCATCATTAAACAAATATTCCATAGGATAAAAGAATGTAGCACATCTTTAACTAATATTCCACAACATCTGGTCCTCTTGCTCTGAAAACACACAAACTTTCAAAAGTAACATACATATCTGCATTAATAAAAGTGTGGTCTGTCTATTATACACAAGCCAGCCAAAAATGACATTTTTTTGTTTTATGTTTGAGCAGGTAAAATATTCATTGCCTATCTTGTAGTTTTCCTAGATTTATTTTTTTTTTTATATCTGTAGTCAAGATTTTCATGAGGTCTCCCCCAATCAAACCTGAGTCTCTTTAACCTTGAACAGCCTTTCATTTCCTGTGGAATCAAAAGCATAACCTCTTCTCCAATGCAATACATTTTTGGAATTCCATTTTAAAATTAAGGCATTCCTAAAGTATATAGGCTGCTTTAATTCAGCAGTCCCTCTTATAATCCCGTGTCTCTCAGCAGCTGTCATTCACTCATCAGCAATCCAAAAATTCAAAGTCAACAAGACACCATATAGGATCCAGACTCTCTGTGTATTTTCCATTTTTATGTGGCTTATCCTTTTTATATTATTTTA